ATAATGTGTACTTGAGCCAACCAGTAGTTAGTATGTCTATATGCAAAAACTAATATAAAATTTGTTTCATACTGAAATAAAATCTGTATCGTAATAATACAAAATTTAGATTACTATCATTCTAAATCAAGCTATACCACTTTTAAAGAGGTAAAATACGTACCATCAATTTAGAAAGTTTATTTTTCGGTAAGTTCCTATGATTTGTACACAAAACATAGACAAGATTGATTTGTGATTATATAATATAGTCTCAAATCAGTAAGTTTTTTTTTGTATTGTATATTTTTCTTTTTTAATACAAAAAAAAAACAATTTCACAAAATTTTAAAACGATCAGTGAAGGACATAAATAATAATTTTAGTGGAATGATCCTTATACTTTTTATAATAAGTTTTCATGATCGAGTGTATTTTTAAATTTTGATTTTCATTAAAAAAAAAAACCAAATTGCGGGGAAAAGAAAAAACAACTTTTCAATGGTAGAGCAACTTCAATGCTTCGCGTCATAAGCAGTGCAAAAGACAATATTTTCATTTGTTACGTCGATATCTCTTAAATAACCCAGATCGAAAAAAAAATCTTAATTTTAACTAAAAATTTAAGTAAAAATTTCCACACTTCAACTTATTTATTTTCTTCTACAAATGTAAAATTTCCATTCCATTTGACTTACTTTTGACTTTTTTTTGGCTTAGTTAAGATCGGTTTAAGACAAAAAAAAAGTCAAAATCAAGTCAGTATCACTAGGTTTTGTAAGTATCAGAGTTGGCTTGATTTGAGATAAAAATAATCAAAATTAAGTCACCATCACTTGCATTTCTTTCATAGTTAGCTTTTTTTAAGACAAAAAAAGGTATAATTAAGGGGGTATTCTGGTCTAGAAGTATGAAATTTCAGATAATTTTTAAAGTGCCGTAAAAAAAAGACAATCAATATTTTTACCATCCATTTTTTTATAAGTTATTTATTAACATATTAAAAATACAGAAAAAAATAAAAAAATGAAAAAAAGTTGAAAATTCAAAAAATTAGCAGCTGATGAAGTGGGGGGGGGGGGTCTCAAAATATTGGTACAAGACGATACCCACGATTCCAACCCTCCTAGCAATCGGAAACAAAAAAAATAAAAAAGATTATTAATCTAGAGTAATGTTGCATGATCGGAACTACGGAAAAGTTTAAAAAAATTTTTTTCACAAAATGGCGACTGCCTGTAAAAAAAATTTTTTTTCTACCACTTTTTTTGACTTTTTCGAATTTTTTAAAAATAGTAAA